ATATATATATATATATATATATATATATATTACTAATAATTTGATTTAAAGCTCAACCAGATCAAACTGCCAATTTATATTTGATGGCTTCGACCATATAATGAACACCCCTACTTGCCAAGAAGGGAGACCGGATCTGCTCCTCACACCTGGCGCCTCACATGCACATCCTACCATGCATTGGGAACATATTCCATACTTATTAATTATTATTCACGGGAGATGTTCCCAATGCACGATGGATATGCATGTGAGGAGCAGATCCCATCTCCCAAGAAGGTAGGTGTGCACGATTGCTTAAAAATGTTATCGGGCCTTCACATGGGCCCCACTTGTATGAATTTTTGGTGCTGGTACAAAGTTGGGAGTTCAGATGTGCTCCCAAAACACGGTTGCAACAAGACACTGCAGCCGTAATTTGGGAAAACCACTTGTCCATGGCAAGATGGAGTCTGGATCTCCTGCCCATGTGTACCCATATAACATCGCAGCCATACATGAAGAACATCTCATCCTCCTACATAGTATTATCTAGGGGGAGATGTTCCCAAATCACGGGGGATAGTGTGTTGTGGGTAGACATCAGCAGAGTTTTTGTGGGCAGGAGATCCAGATTCGGCAAGATGTTGTCGATGTACGGCTGCAATAGCCAACTGGGACATTGTTGGGAACAGATCCGGCCACCAAAGGAAGAAACTAAAATAGGAATTAACAATGTTTTTTCTATAAGTCAACGATTTTGGATTTTTGAAAATTTTAGAAAACCCTATTCAAGTAAACTCAACCCTGCCTTGAGTAGGGTGTAAGATGATGAAACACCGGGTGTTTTTTCTTTGATTTTGTGTTGATTTCAAGGATTCGGTTCTGGGAGTTTTATCCTTTGTTCTCCATTTTCTTTTCTTTTTCTTTTTCTTTTTTATTTTATGGCTTATTTCTTATTACCTTTAATGCCCAATATTAACATGGAAAAGTCATCTGGATGGGCCATTCGAGCAYCCATTAAAATCCATTATAAGCCCATGCCATGTCATGCCCGGCCCATTCTGAAAAATTGCTAGGTGCTAACCCTATAACATTCCTGACGTTTAAATGTTTTACACTTTAACAGGGAATGGGTCTCCTAACACTAGCGGTTTCAGTCCCTGCACTTAAACCACCTCCTTGTCAACAAACAGAAGTTACAAACTGTAAACCGGCCTCCACATTACAACTAGCTGTGTTCTTTGGTGCACTGTACATTCTGGCAGTGGGGACGGGTGGAACCAAGCCAAACATCTCGACCATGGGAGCCGACCAATTTGATGATTTTGATCTCAAAGAGAAGACTTATAAGCTTTCCTTCTTCAATTGGTGGATGTTTAGCATATTCTTGGGCTCACTCTTTGCCAATACAGTCCTTGTCTACATTCAAGACAATGTGAGTTGGACCCTGGGTTATGGGCTTTCAACAATTGGGCTTTCCATATCAATTATAATCTTTTTAGCTGGCTCAGGCCTCTACAGGCACAAGGTGCCCATGGGGAGTCCCTTGACAAGGATGGCTAGGGTCATAGTGGCTGCATTCAGGAAATGGAGGGTGCCAGTTCCTGCTGACCCTAGAGAGCTTTATGAGCTTGACTTGAAGGAATATGAAGCAAAAGGGAAGTTCAGAATTGAGTCTACACCTTCCTTGAGGTTAGTCATGATAAGGCAATTCCATTGTTTAATTTGTTTCATTCTGATCATTTGATTCAAGACTTGAAAATGGTTAGTTGTTGATAATTCATTCATTCATGCATTGATGCATGCAGGTTCCTCAATAAGGCCTCTGTTCAAACTACAGGTTCTTCAAACACTCCATGGATGGTTTGTCCAGTGACCCAAGTAGAGGAGACGAAGCAAATGCTCCGGATGATTCCGATCTGGGTCGCCACATTCATGCCAGGGGTAATGTTTGCTCAGGTCCATACCCTTTTTATCAAGCAAGGTACAACTCTTGACAGAAGCATAGGCAGCTTCCAAATCCCACCTGCCAGCCTTGTTGCATTTGTAACTATTTCCATGCTAGTGAGCGTCGTGATATACGACAAGGTGTTTGTTAAAATGATGAGGAGGTGGACCAAGAACCCAAGAGGGATAACTCTTCTCCAAAGAATGGGAGTTGGTCTTGCTCTCCATGTTGTAATCATGTTAGTTGCTTCCCTAACTGAGAGGAAGAGACTCAGGGTGGCCAAAGATCATGGTTTGGTAGAGCATGGAGGTAGAGTTCCTCTYAGCATATTCAATTTACTCCCCCAATTTGTACTCATGGGGATTGCTGATTCCTTTCTGGATGTAGCCAAGGTTGAGTTCTTCTATGACCAGGCACCTGAGAGCATGAAGAGTTTGGGGACTTCTTATTCCCAGGCTAGTTTGGGAATCGGAAACTTTCTCAGTACTTTCCTTCTTTCGACTGTGTCTCACATCACCAAGAAGCATGGACACAAAGGATGGATTCTGAACAATCTCAATGCGTCTCACTTGGACTACTACTATGCATTACTTGCTGTACTCAACATCTTGAACTTCATCTTCTTCCTTGTCGTGACTAAGTTCTATATTTACAGAGCTGAGATCTCTGATTCAATGGAAGTGCTTAAGGAAGATTTAGAGATGTCAAAGTTTAAGGTCATTGACCAAGGGTTGGAGAATTAGCCCGGTCAGTGAAAGTGTGAAACTTATGGTGACTAATTCTGGCGTGTTTGCATTTTATCGATGGGTGTCTGCATTGTCCAGCGACACCCATTTTATCGATGGGTGTCTTCATATTTTATTTTATAAATATTATGAAAATTTTCTTAGGGTTAGCAGTTTCCCGATTTTCTCCTGGGCTCGACCTTGGAAAGACATGATATTTGGAAAAACTTAGGCCCCGTTGGATTCATGGGAGTAGAGGTCTGGAATCGGAATTAGAATGGGCTATTCTGATTTCAACTGTTTGATTGGATGGAATCGGAATCCATTCTCATTCCTGTTGGAATGGCATTCCCCCATTTGAAGAGGGAATGGCCATTCCCTGCCCCTCTCTAGGGAATGAAATCCCATTCCTGCTGATTTTAATTCCCATTCTCATTCCTATCGGAACCAAACAGACTATGGGAATGGGCCATTTTAATACCGATTTCAGTGGATWTCAATTCCAATTCCGACTGTAAATCAAACGGACCCTTATAACCAATCAACTGGCATCATAAAATGGTAAACAATTACAAAATTTATGGGGGATTTTGATTGGTCCAARCCCTTCTAGTATCATGTTTTTCTAACATCATAGGTTTTTCTTTTTTTTTTCCTTTTCTCTTTAGAATTCAAAATGTTATTCAAAATGGCGTGGCAAATTACGAATGGAGGACCAAAAATGGCCCCTTTTCACTGTATTGATTCAGGTCAGTCCAAAATCAGCCCGGTCCAAGGTTTTTGTGGGCTTGGAATTCATTTTATGCCAAGCCTTGAATTTGGCTCTAAGTTAGGGCAGATATAAGTCCAACCTATACCCAATCTCTGCTATTAATTAATACATTTTTCTCTTTTTGGAAAATTTCAGATTTCCCCACCTCACAAATTTTTATCTTCAGTGATAGATGGAGGAATGACACAATACTAAGAGGGCGTACTATATCATTGGTGGGGGTTTTTGAAAATAAAATCTAAAAACAAATAAAAAATAATGAGGTGGGGTAAATTAAAGTTTTTTCTTTTTCTTTTAAGGAGGGGACTAACATATTCTAAGCTCGGTCCATCTTGGCCTTATGCATCTCTAGATAAAGCCAGGAAACCGCTTCAATAGATAGCATATTTTTTCAACACGTGGCTATATTATTGCATGATCATCAAAAGTTAATAATATTATCTACATACAAATATATTATTAAAGATGGGAATGTTGATGAGAGACAAATTTTCTTTCAAATTCATTTACAAGACCGGACTTTTATGTAAAATTTGATGGAAGAGAGGCCATAGGCCCTCATTTGATCTTCAACATGTTGGAAAACTCCAATGGCTATGTGATATGCCACATGTTGATCCTCAACATCTCTTGGTTATATTTGTGCAATATTTTCACACAYAATCAAGATTTTTCTTGTATCTGTTATTATTATTATTATTTATTTTTTATGAAAATAATATTTTATTTGGTTATTTACTTCTTTTTTATACATAGATATACTATTATTATTGGATTACATTGGATGTTATTTCCAGCTCTTACAAGGTTAATGGAAAAGCCATTTGGCTTGGTGTAAGATGGATGACCAAGTATACGTTTGGTATGGCAGCTTTTGTTTATTAAATACACTTTGTACTTGATTTGTCTTCAAAATTTAGAAAAAGTGGTTGATAAATGTTGTTTTGGTATTTGTTGACAGTTAGGCGCCATTAGGCACCAAATAAGTGAAACAGTAAATAAATACTTTTGTGTTGGGGGAAACATTAAAATGAAACTCCCTTAATGGTTGGCTTGCATGTAAACCTAGACAAACATTCATAAGATAAATAGGTATACAAAATAGTATGATGGGACAAATGCCCACATGGCGATGACGTAACACCGTTTATCAAATAAATAGAAGCCATACCAAATACCCTACAAGTGTTGAGATCCTTGGTCATTGATACACTTGTCTCAATCTAATGAGGTATAAGTTATTTAGTTAGAGAGCAATGAACTCAATGTTCTGAAAACTGGACCGGACCGTCCGGTTGAATTGGTTGAACCATGACCCAGCCCCCTGGCTGGTTTGGGCATACCCCTAAAATTGGTATGTTCAAAAAACCATGAAAAAATGTTTACCCGACTGGTTCAACCAGAGAACTGGCAAACCAGTGCCAGTTTTGCATAACCGACCAGCATTTTAACATTCTCATTTTTAGTACAAAAAGATAAAAAAAAAAAAAAAAAAACGTAAAATTGGGTCAAACATCCCCTAAGGTCCAACTGAAAAATCCCAATCCCAGCCAAAAATAAACCCTCTTTGATCAATCTCTGATTCTATTCTTCCTCTTCAAACCTAACCTAAGTCCAGTAGCTCCAGCCACCACCACTAGCACCTCATCACTGACACCAGGTAGTCTCTCTCCTCCTCTTTCGGTCTTTCTTCTTCTTCTTCCCGCCAGTGGAATCTGTTCACCAGCTGTCCCTCCAGCTCTGGCGGTTGGTGTCCTCTTCTTCTTCTCTTTGGCAGCGGTGGCAGTGCTTTATTCACCGCCCTCTCCTAGTCTTCTTCCCTCTTTCCTTCTCCTCCTCCTTCCACTGCCTGAATCTAATTTCTTTTTCTTTAAGTTTGAATCTGATTTCTGCAACATTTAGCCATTTATTTATTTTTAACTCTTGAACTTGAAATTAATTAATTATTGATAGTTTTGTTACAGTTTGATTTTTTGCTTCAGGCTTGGAATTTGATCATTGGTTCGGCCAAGATACACAACTAGTTGTTCAGTCTTGCAGGTTAGCCTAAGCCCTCTTCAAATCTTGAAATAGAAATTTAAACTTGAATAAATTAATTTCATATTTTGAATTTAGGTGATATTGACTGAAAATTGGAACTAAATTTAGAATAGTGATAGTGATAGTGTGATACTAAAAGAGCTGAAAATTGAAATAAATTTTATTTTATCATGTATGCATCATAATTTTTGATTTGATATTTCTTGAAATTCCTTTGTGATGATGATGATGGTATAATTAGGATTGAGTCTTGAACTTTATTGGATTGTTGGTGTATTTATTTTCATTGTGAGACATATAGTCTTAAAAAATTTGAAGTATTTATTTCTATTTTGGATTAACTGTCATTCATATTCAGTAATTTTTTTGAATTTTATTTATTTTATATAAATATTATTTATTACATCAGCATGGTTTGACCTCCGGTTCGACCTCGGTYGGACCTCTGACCCATGAACCTCTGCCTTTACCTGGTCTGATTGTCTAAACATTGGTTTTAATTTAATTACTTGTTCCTAACAACAGGGCAAAGTGATGCTGAGTAAGCTATCTATATAAAAGTCTTCTATGCTATCTTGTAAAAACACAAAGAATCCAAGATAAGTAACAACATTGGAAGGATAAAGAGCCTCCATAATATTGTTGCCCTAGTCAGATTCAGTAATTCCCAATTGTAGGTTGCTTTTGTGGGAAGTGCCTCCAATCCATTTCATTTGCATCTTGTAGGTTGAATAATATATGTATTCTCTTATTCATAGTTTATCATTGGTATCGGAGCACCATGTTCGATCGGTTTAACATATCAAGTTTGAGTGTGTAACAATGAACCATGCCCCAATATATGTACTTGAGAGACTTGAAAGAGTAAAGAGGGAGAAACCCTTATTTGAAAGTCTCTTGCTCCACGAAGACTATCGTTCATGAGTCTCCTCTCCTAACAATATTGATCCATTCGTTAAAACAATAATGACTACAAAATACCCTTTTTRTTGTGATTATTTACTTCTTTAACTTCAAGCTTGTTTTTCATATTATCAATAGACGAAATATAGGTTGTAGATACGAGACCAAATCACATGTTTCAAGCATATGTAGATTTTTCTAAGGTCCCCAAATTGGTGACGCCTACAACATTCTTAGGCCCTGATCGCTTTTCAAATAGTTACTTACCCGGATAAATGTAGTTAGTTACCTGGGTAAGTTTTTCCTGAAAAAACATTTACCCAGGGAAGTGCATTTATTCATGTTCTTTAATTTCTCATGTAAATAAGGTAATGATCATTTTAGCCATAAAAATTTATTATTAAAAAGGCCATTTTTGTCCCATTCAAGTTTTGACAACTTCCCCCTAGGTGAGAAAGTTATTTACCCACCTAGGAGATGGGTATCACTTACCTAGGATGACAACTTTCCCCTAGGTGGGAAAGTTATTTATCCACCTAGGAGATGAGTATCACTTACCTAGGATGACAACTTCCCCTTAGGGTGCGTTCTTTTTTTCGATTTTGGGAGGGGGGAAACCTGGTCAATGGGATTTTGTTTCCCCTTGACCAAGAATCCCATGTTCTTTTTTTAGATTAATGAGGGGATCAGGGAAAATTTATTTTTCGGGTAAGTGATACCCATCTTCTGGGTGGATAAATAACTTTCCCACTTGGGGGGAAAGTTTCCAACACTTGAATGAGAAAAAATGCCCCTTTTAATAATGAATTTTTATGGTTAAAATGGCCATTTCCTTTTTTACTTGGGAAATAAAAGAACATGGGTAAATACGCTTACCTGGGTAGGTATTTCCCAAGAAAAACTTATCTAAGTAATTGCATTTACCTAGGTAAGTAACTTGCCGAAAAACGAACGGGGCCTAGATGGCAACTTCCCCTTGGGTAAATGATACCTAGGAAAATAAACTTTCCCTTGTCTCCACATAAATTTGAAAAAAAGAACATGGGATTCTTGGTCAATGGGAACCAAAAATCCCATTAACCAACTTTCTCCCCTCTCAAAATCCAGAAAAAGAACACCCCCTTAATAGTTTGGGAAATAGAATTGCTTATAATGAATTCTTAAACTGGTCAACCGTCCATCCTATACATAGATTTGAGTTCTATATTGAAAAAACCCAAATAAATTTCTGGGTTTTGGTTGAGACAAGCTCCAAAAGCTAGATTCAATCAAGCATAAGGAATTATAGCAAGAAATCCAACCATTAAACAAACCGGGTATTAAAAATCCAATTTTCACTAACCAAATTTTTTTTTCTCAAAGTAGTTGATTACGGATATATCTCTATTTTTAGGGCAGATTTCTTAAATTACTCCTAGTGTTTAGCCAA